GATGTAGGTTCAGAAGTCACCTGTTTGCTTTGGGGATCTTTCAGCTCACGGAGAACATCAGAGCCCACTGTTTCATGCAAACAAACCATGACCTGACATAACACACCTACACTTCACACAAAGACATTTTTGTGAATGAATGCCCATAAACGGAGGTGTATCGATTATTTTTATGCTTTTGCATGAATTAATATTGAAGACAAATCTCAAATCAAGTGTAAGCTAACTGTTCGTACGCCTCAGAGCCAAACATTCATGATGTTGGTAACTTCCAGCTCCTGAAAATTCCAAATCCCAGCCAGCAATGATTTCCACCTCCGTCAGTATCACAGCAAACCAACTCACATAAACTCTTGGAACGTGCTCTCGTTTGGATTGTTGTTCTTTATCAATTCAAAACGAAACATCTCAGCAAAGTTTTTATTGATTACTTATTTTAAAATGAGTGGTAGTACGATGTGGCTTTGGAGTTGGAATCAATCATTTAACTCTGAACAACACTGATATTCAGCAGAGCAGCTCTTTGCTGAAACAGTGTCTTCATGCTCTGATATTGTATCCACGGGACACAAAAGTAGTCCCATTTCTGCTGTTACAGTTTATGGCTCCTGCCCTGCAGCAGCTGGGGACTTTCAGACTGCTAACTCTGAACTTTTCTGCAGCAGAAGGAAGTTTTGGTTTGACTGGTTCCTTGTGCATTGTTCGGTGGTATAAGTGTAACAATGATATGATTGTATTCTCTGATACATTGTGTCCATCATCAAAAACCACACAGGCAGTGTTACGCTGTCTTGTTTGCAGCATTGTCTGTCCTCAGACTTTTAACTTTACATTTTTAGAAAATAAAATTTCCAAACTCTAATTGAAAATGAGCAAACATCAGATGGTGAATATAAATTTAAATGAGTTCATTACAGACATCAGATTGCCTCTGTCTATAATGTTTTTTCAGCTAAGATAAGCAACGCACACCGCTATCATACTTGAGCTCCATTCTTGGGCCTCATGATTAAATCAGTAACTATATTAACTAAAGAAGATTATTTAAAGATCTGCAAAGTAAGTGGAGTTTATATTTGTATAACCCAATGGGAAATAAGGACAGATTCATTTGGATCCCACTCTGCTGGGATATTTAAATGAATATATGTGTAAAGCTCTCTTAAAATGTCCTTATTCTGGTAACAGCTGCTTCCTCTCTAGATTACCTAAATCATATTTATCTGATCTCCACTTATGGCAGAAGCTAGAATAAACAGCCTGATGTCACAAGTCTTCAGCAAGTAGAATAAGCTAATGTGTCGGCTCCTGTGTGGAGCTCCAACTTATGGGTTCATGTGCAACATAACCTCTGAGGAAAGCTGATCGTTGTGGTTTTATTCTCTCGAGTGGATTTTATTGTGGAATGCCAATGAGATGAAAGTGAAGTGACTAGTGCAGTGACTGGGTTGCACCAAGAAAATAAAATATATCTTTTATTAAATGGTGTTTGGAGTTGTTCTTCTTTTAAATGTCTAAGAAACAAACATGAAATATTCTCAGTAGCCCACACCAAAGTGTGTTCCCAAGGAACTGTATGGACTCTTTGTTATATAGCACGTTTTTACTCCACTCAAGCACGTCATACAACTTGCTCCATTCACCC